ATTAGACGCGTATTTTGGAAGGAAATCGTGTTTACTTGACACGCATTTTATTCCAAAAACTTTTTGCGCGCACTGTACATACGACATATATAGCAAATGTTGTTACAGTATAAAGCAACTACTTCCTTTGTCGTCTACTGAAGAAAGTTATTCAATGTCTGTGAGAGAGCTTGTTGTTTACCGACATACTTGGTTTTTGACTACGCGGTAAAATAGCATTAAAGTTTATGATCCTTTTCATTGTGTCAAAATTCCCTTCAGCATCGGTTTCTTGGACTGGTCGAAGACAACAAAAGTAATGACTCTTGCTCATTCAGAGTTGGTCATTAAAAGAAAACATCTCCGTAACAATCTTGTTTAGTTAATACACCCATACCCTGTTTATATCCCTACCCAGTTACCTCATTCCCCCCGTTATATCACCAACGCTAATGTCCTTATTCAATAAAATACAGTACACTGTACACCAACCCGCTTATATCCCCGCTTTGAGGCAAAACAAAAGGGGAGATATAAACGGGGTGTTACTGTATGTTTATTAATTGTAATTACGAGTCAATATTATCAATCTATGTGTTCATATCATCGTCCCACACATAACAATACTTAAACAAAGCACTTAGAATATATTCGGCGGTCTTCGAGTATGTCGTTATATTGATTATTAAATTATGCTTGTAGTCGTCACGGAACATCCTTATCCAAAGCGAAGTTGCCAAGATTACTGACTTCGGTCTCGCCGAGTTCATTAGAGAACAGACTGACGACTTTTGTGGTGGGACGTCCGGCGTATGCATTGGAGACGCTGACTTTATTCGTGATAAAAAATCTGTTCGGGCCAAACGTTGTGAATTGGAGAGTTCTGAATAATCGTCAAATCCCTAATACTAATACACCAAGAAAGTACTTGCAACTTTACGCATAATAACCCAAACATAAGACCGACTTGTGAAGTGGTGTGTGATCGCTTGAAAAAATTACAGTCGAATAAAAGTTTATGAACAAAAAAATCCAGGACAGATTCTACTATTCCACGGTCAACTCTAGTTTTTCTTCGTTAGTAAAGCGATCTGATCTATCGAATGGGATGCAACCTGTTTACACATCACAGTCAACTTTGGCTTCTCTGAAAACCATACCTTCAGTTTATGGAATAATGAAAGCTGCGGCGCTCCAAACACTATAATTAGCGTAACAAATTTCATAAATAACATTCCTGATTAGTTCTGAATTTATTTTGATTGCGTCATCATATTTTATAATAACTTACTCTGATAAATAGGTTTACTCAAAAATAAGATTACTGTTATGTAAACATTGAATCAGAAACTGATGTACAGTATATTGGAAAGTTAGTGTAACTTGGACATCATTTGATGATGCACGTGTGGAATGGTTTGTTCCGATCTTCAAAACATTGAGTATTGGAATGAGGAGAATTCGAGGAGGCAGGGCGAGTTGATTAGGATGAGATAAGAAGATTCGGCGGTTCCGATAGAATTTCATATTAATGTTAATGTCACATCGCCCCTTTTTGTCGAACCACTTGATATTGATTCTCACGACGCGCAGTAGCGTCATACAAGTAAATGAAAAAATGTTGTTGCAACCGAACAATAACAATAACAATTGTTATGTATCTAATTAAATCTCCTTCATTAATATCACGTTCATGCTTTAGTTTAATAAATGAAGCTGTGATCAGGAGAAGAATCAGCAGTAATGCAAGTATATCACAAAGAGAAAAGCCCGTAGAGACAAAGGGTATGTACGTTATATATTTTGCAATGACTTCAAATGTAACATCGATGAGGCAATTGATTTGGAGAGCATCGTAACTCGTTTGTTGCTTAGAGGTCGAGAGAGCACGGCGACGGTTTTGGAAACAAGTTTCTATACAAGAAAACAAAGGTAAATAAATAGAACGCAATTAAGGGTATGCAGCGTAAAACTTGTATTATACCCCGATATCCAAAACGCGATTCCAACACACTGTACTCTCGCAAACCAGACAGTTACACCATAACCCTCGACAAACGCCCGCTTAAAGTACCCGGCGGATCACTCCTGGTAATACCTAAAAATAGGCGGGCTCTTGCGTATCTAGTAGCCGGAGAATGGGAGTCGCAGAACGCATTACTCAAGCATCATTCCTTGCCACTGACGTCTCTTGTTGCAAGAGCGATTGTCGCGTTTGAGAAAGACTCGGACGAAAAAAAAGATGCTGTTGAGCGATTGTTAAAATATCTGGATACTGACAGTATTTGGTGAGTAGACGGAGAATAGTAATGAAGGTGTTTTGCGAGTTGGATCAAGGATATATCGGCAGGATCGCATATTGAACAAGGCGGGAGTATAGAAAGAAAATTTGAATACTCTGATTTATAAATATAATATTCTCATACAACGTATCTCAATAGTTTCCGACACAACCACCCGCAAACACTTGTAGATCTACAACGGCAGCATTGGGACCCACTAATCGATTGGATTCAATCCCACTACTCTGTCCGTATTAACACTACGGAAGGTATTTTCAAGCATCCGCATCCATCCGAGACATACGAAAAACTATCCAACATCGTTTCCAAATTTGATAGCTTGAAATTGGCTGCGTTCGAACGAGCCGCGATGCTATCAAAGTCTTTTATAATCGGCCTTGGACTGGTCGAGAGACGTCTCAGCGTGGAAGAGGCTGTACAGGCAGCACAGGTGGAAGTAAACGCGCAGATTATGGGTTGGGGTGAGGTGGAAGATGGTGAGTACAGAATGCAAAAACGTTGGTAATGGCGACGCGTTTGGTGCGAAAATAACTTGCGATTATATTTATTCACAATTTTTTTCTTTAATATTCTATGTAGCTCATGATGTTGATCGAGAGGATATTAGAAGGCAACTGGGATCTGTTGTAGTTGCACTAATTAATGAGAACGTTCAATAGATTTAATTATCTTTTAGTTTATTAATTATCAAGGTTCATATAGTTAAACTTTTGCTTCTTCCGATGTCTCCTCCCTTTCTTCGACCACTGCCTCTCCACCTGCCTCTCCACCTGCCTCTCCACCTGCCTCTCCAACTGCCTCCCCCGTCGCTTTGATCGTTGCCTCCCCATCTGCTTCCCCCGTTGCCTTGACCACTGCCTCGACCACTGTCTGGTTTTCTTTTTCTTCCATTTCCGGAATCAGCCATTCCGTGGGGAATTTTAACTTTCGTTTCTCTGGTTTCAAATGTCTTTTATCAAGCGGAATGTCAGCAAACGTATCTTCTGGATTCTAAATAGAAAAACAATGTTACGATTAATATGAGAAGATCGGTCGATGTAGTATATCACATGCATTCTCGTCTTTTGAACTCAAACACGCATGCACCCGTCCTCTACACTCGTCCCGGACAATTCGCCTCTAACCTTTGCTTCCTCGATCAAGCGATTCAACAAATCGCTCAAATATTTCTTATTCTGCGCCAAGTACGGAAACCTCTCGCAAGAAAACTTGATCTCTTTCGTCCGCACGTTTACTCGCGGACCGCATAGCAGCAGTAATTTGTGTAGCTGAGCGTCAGTCAAGTTCAAATGACGAGCGAGTTTACGATAGTTTACAGTCATAACGGCTTTCTCCTGGAGAGGGCTGTATTCGCCCACATAATATATTGATTTGAAACAGAGGAGTTGCGAAGGTTGAGGGGGCACGAAGGGTGTTGCGTATTCTGTGTCGTTGTTGTCAAGAGAGAAAACTGACGGTTAATGTTAAACGTGGCTATGAAAATGCAGTCAAGGATATTACAATCCATGTTGCTACTATCTTATCATTAGCTAAGTAGAACGTTAGAATAACACTATTTGTATATCTAATGATTTACTAAGTTATAAAATTTCCAAATTCAAGCTTATCCTATCCATTCATCGTGCTCGCTTTCCCCGCTCACCAGTCAACTGCGGTATTTCAAACAGCATCTTCCTTAAATACTTTCGAACCTCCTTCTGTGCAGCCATCATCTCATGTGCAGGGGTGGTAATATCATCGAACTTAAACTCTGGCAGGTTATCAACATCGTATTCAGTCTCTTTTGCGACTCGTGTTCTCCTGCGAGCACTGGTCGGCGCAGTCGAAGAAAAGAGGCGTGGAGAATGAAGGCAAGAACTGCGTCGGATTATGCAAAAGAGACGAGATTGAATGCGAAGAGAAGTCATTGGATTGGAAGTGACAAAATGAAGTGGTGTAAATCCCAAATTGGATGTCCTCGTTGATTAGCAGAAATTAAAGGATGGGGTTCACCGCTTATAGGGATGAGTCGTAAAAGCACAGAACGCTAATTATTATCGTAGACGCAAATACTATTGTTATCTTGATAATTGTGATTGAAATATTCGATGCCTCGATCTTTTTATGATAATTAGGCAATGAACCTCGAAGCTTTCTTTTTCACTATATATTAACTTATTATACTAATACATCATATAAATATTTTCTAAGGTATAATTTTTTCTTCTCTGCATCTGCGATGTTTTTTCTCTGGCTCACTGCACGTCCTCCCATATAATCACAGTGATCATATCACATTACTATTTGCACGTGTTATGGAAAATATAACACAATCGACTTTGAATAACATGATAGTACAGTAGAAGATTATTTTAAATACTTCAAAAACGTCACCCGATAGAGTATAAAAATAAGCGTGAAATATGTGAACTGCTCGACTGTTAGCAAAATTCTATTAAGGAAGAAATGGCCTGGTCAAAATTTCAACCAATGTAGGCTTAATGATTTGTGTGGATTTAATTGAATTTCAATCAATGCGTCAACGAAGTATCGATGCTTACTTTAGCATAGTTTAGATACTGATCTTAATATCATTGATCATAAGCTTCCTGTCTATGAGGAGGTAGACTGTATCAGTATTGGAATTACGACTATAAATTAAATAAATACATGACATCCAATAACGATGGATAAACTCCCCTTTCCTCTCTACTTAGCAGCGATCGAATCAGATCCTTCAAACTCTTTCTACATCCATTGGATCCAAGCACACCGGGGAAGGGAGGAGGGGAAATAGAGTTAAATTTATATCGTAAAAGCAAAACGGACATTTTATAGTGATCCACTAAATATTCTTCTCATCATCTAAAAGCCGTGTAATAAAATAAGAAAGAAAGCAAAAGGAAATATCTGTATTAAATTTGTTCCTTAATATATACAGTCACATATTTTATTCCCCAAAAAATGTTAAGTGTGATAGTGCTAGTATATAGGATTTTTCATCATGTTATGTGGTCGTTCTCTTCGACTGTTATTTATAGTATAATGTGATTGCTCACTGTCTATTATTTGAAGAACTCACAGTAACGATAAAAGAAATTTATTTAATTGTTATGTTGGTTATGATATTAATAATCTTGACTGATTTATCAAAATTCTAATCGGCAAGAATTAATAGGAAAACTCAGAACTTAAGCTACGTAAATGACTGTCAACTTATTGGAAAAAAACCCTTCGACAACTGTTTAATAGTGTTGCTCTACAAGAAGACTTTACTGTTGCAACCGTTAACTGTAAGCGCGTGTGTGACTGTAATATGTAACCCACGCCACACAATCCGTTGTAAAAACCTATTAAATTTATGACAAAGTTTATTATTATATAGTAATATAGTAACAGTAATACTTGTCCACAAACCGCTTTGTTGCGTTTTTATTAATCAACAGATTTAAATTTCTGTACAGTCATTATTCATGTTTCTTAGACATAATTCAGCTAATTGAAATAACTTTGCCATACCAGTTCAATAAAGTTGAAGTTTTGAATAGATGTAAACTTGCTTTCTATATCAAATAATACTGAAAATTTAATTTGCTGCAAGAATTAAATTCAAGGCTCATAGTAATAGCGAAGTTCCTAACTTATAAGAAGGGTTTGAGATTAATATTAAAACTGTGTTATAAAATTAGAATGAGTTCTAATTACAATTATATTATTATTATTAGCAGTTGACACTAGACAGCCAAGAAATATTTTTCCATATTATGAAGGTTGTTTATTTCATTATTTATGCATACTACTAATAATATCATTACTAACTATAATAATAACTATAATCAAAAATAAATGTCTGAATAACAAGTTGCTACTTATATATATACTGGTGGTGCAATATAATTTTAAAAAGTTGTTGATGGCCACTTTTATCTAACTCAATCTTTTCTCTTTTTACTTTTAAGTCGTTTTCACAAAATACACTACACTATTACTGTATGCTTATTATATCCTGTTCATCTACTACTACTCCAATTTCATTTTAATAATACAGTCCAAAAATATATTGTGTATATATACTAATATAGGGATTATATTTTTCAGCTCTGAATTGGCACAAGTTAGTCACACAATAATAAGTAATGCCAAGATGTAATCCAGCTATTTGCTATAATAATAATAATAATAATATTGCCTACCATTTTTAATGTGAACTAGTAATGTATAATGTGCTTGTTTTACTGCGTTCTGATACAACTCAACTGGTTTTGTTTATAATTATCTTATTCTACTTTAGCTCCATTTTTATAAATACAGCAAAAGTATTTGTATTAGCATGTTCTTGTTCTATGTTCAGCAGCTTTATTATACCATTCAGCAGCTTTTTGTTTATTTTTTTCTATGCCAGTTCCATTTTCATAACATATAGAAAGATTAAATTGAGCATTTGCATCTCCTTTTTCAGCTGCTTTTTTGTACCATTCAAATGCTTTTTGTTTATTCTTTTCTACTCCAACCCCATCATCATAGCATATAGCAAGATTAAACTGAGCACAGGCATACCCTTGTTTAGCTGCTTTTTCATACCATTCAATTACTTTCTGTTCATCTTTTTCTACTCCAATTCCTTTTTTGTAACATACAGCAAGCTCAAATTGAGCCCTGGAAATTCCCTGTTCAGCTGCTTTTTTATACCATTTAACTGCTTCTTTTTCATCTTTTTTTACTCCAGTTCCATTATGATAACACAAGGCAAGGTCAAATTGAGCACTGGCTTTTCCTTGCTCTGCTGCTTTTTTATACCAGTTGATTGCTCTTTGTTCATCTTTTTCTACTCCACTTCCATTTTTATAACATACAGCAAGATTATTTTGTGCATCAACATCTCCTAGTTCAGCTGCCTTTTTATACCATTTAACTGCTTTTTGTTCATTTTTTTCTACTCCAGTTCCATTAGCATAGCATACAGCAAGATCAAATTGAGCCCTGGAAACTCCCTGTTCAGCTGCTTTTTTATACCACTCAACTGCTTTCTGTTCATTTTTTTCTACTCCAATTCCATTTTTGTAACATACAGCAAGATCAAACTGAGCCCTGGCATCTCCTTGTTCAGCTGCCTTTTCATACCATTTAATATTAGCTGCTTTTTGTTCATATTGTTCTGTGTTGCCATGTACTTGTCTGCGTTGATTCCCTACTTTAACCATTCTAGTAGTAAGTTTAATAATAAGCAAATATAACTGTACGAGTACTATGTACAGTATAGTTATGGTGAAGAATGTTATTACAGGAATCATCTGAGTCTTTGTTTGACACGGGAATCATCTGAAACGTGGTGTAACCTAATACAATTTCACAGCAGACCCCGTTACCTTATTATAGTAACTGACACTCTTACACCATTTTTAATTTCACGTTGATAACAGATGAGTTTTAATACTTCTGTTTATACCAGCTCCCAGCGCAAGTTACGCAAACCATATGAACCAGTTTACTTGATGGTTGAGTTAATGATGAGTGACGAAAATTGATTCGCATCTTAGAAGAATCAGCCAATCGGTATAATCAAATTCAAATTGTACTTAATATTCTTTGCACTCACATTGAAAGCAGTTATCATTAACGCGTATGTGAGTTTCATGAGTATTAGATTGATAGAAAAATGTAATAGTAAATTGGTCGATAGCGCCTGAATCAACAGTATATGACAACGTCAACGTTGGGATCGAGAGATGTTTTAATCCAACGTTAAGCTCGATAAAGCTATTCACAGATAATGATGAGAGGCCACCTTAGCTGTGTCTAATAATTAGAGCTTTTTAATACTGTGGATGGCTCATCCCATTCGCATGGTCAAAATAATATCCAATCATCTGTAAACAAACGATTATTATTAGTGCTATTTACTAAGCAACAGTGTCAATCAAAGATATAAATGAATTTACATAATAGTGATAATGGAAGCGTACTATTGGAACACTTTAATGTCATCAGAACTGGCCCAAGAAGTTCCATGAATAATGCGTTTCCAACCCTGTCAGTTTATAGTTAACATTTTTATTTATATTTATTTAAAGAAGATTGGCGGGGACTTGCTGCGACGTTATTATTCACTCGTCTCTAACTCACTGCAAATCCCTAAATAGCCTGCCATGCTGACAGTCGACTTGATCACAGAACAGATATGTTGATTCAATTTCATTGCCAATTCTTCAAGTTTAGTTTCGTGCATTGTTTTACTCCAGTATGGGCTCAGTTTTGCTTAGTTTCTTCGATCCGATGACTCAGCTAGTACTGGTCTACTAGTATATTTTGAAAGAATGGTTAGGATAAATGTCCATTTGTACTAATGCAATGTAAACTAGCCAAAAAGCATACTTGGCGCGCCCTCTATCTCGAAGAGCATTGTAAAACGTGTTTTCGATTAAGAAATAGCGGATTTCTCAGTTTCAGCCGATGAACATGTTTAGAGAACTTCAGGGCAAGGTTTGATGAATTGATATACGAACATTTGAGATTGACAAGAGTAATGAATATTGAGGCGAGTATGCGAAAAGAATGTTGAGAGGAATAACATACAGATGAACGGGAGAAGAAAAACTCGTCAATAAAGATGTACAGATAAGTGCAATGCATCAAAGTTCTTTCTCTCGAAAAGTCTTACGAAATCCAAGTCTGGTCAGTTTTTCACCGTTTCACTCTATTTTTCTCTGTCCATATTAACTTCCACAATGATATTCACAGACCTTTCCTTATACTCACTTCAAGTTAGCCAAATCCAACATCCAAATCCATTACCGGAATTGCAACTCTAAACTTAGTGGTTTGGGTTGTGTAGGACTAGACGCACGAGAGACTCGTCTAATTGCTATAATCTGCATGTCAACGTAATAACCCATCCGTCCTATTTCTTATTTCCCCGCCGCAACACGTGTAGACGTCGAAACCGTCTATTTCACAAAAATTTGAATTGTCGAGCGGTTGAACTAGACGAAAGCAAACAAGTGAACCGAAAGAAGTGGTATGATGTAAAAGTAGCAATACTCTACCACGCACCCGTTTTCGAAGGCGGCCATGTTAATACATTATCATTATCAATATTAATATTATTATCTAGCATTATTTGTCAAACTTTCCTTTTCGAATCTGTAATGATTCGGTTATTATACAGCCGAATTGTTTAAGCACCAACTTCAGCATTATTTCAGGCATTAACGTTAACATCGAATATTTTGCCTCTGCATATATCATAATGCATGCGCAATAAATTCAAAAATTCATATCCCGACATTTCTTCAACCACTGTTTTTATTTTAATCTGCAATATCAGAATACATTCATATAATTCTGAACGAATTACTGCATGATCGCTATTACGAAACGCAAAACGATTGTAAGGCACACATTAATATGTGTATTTCTGGTATTTAACAAGTAACGGCAGAACAACTTCTCAATTTTATCATCGTTACCTTTGTATGCCATATCCTCGCGTATGCCATATGCAAACTATGATAAGAAATCATAAACAAGTCTTAGCGTAGCAACTGCATTGACTGGTGTTGAAACCCTGGCTTTTACGGGTTGGAAAGATTAAAATGGCCGAAGCTTAAGATCGCCCGCTGCAGTGCTGAGGTTAGTCTGACACTCATTTCGCCCAGAGACGAGGAAACGCAAGATGCTGAACGTCTGCTCATACAGTGGGCCTGCCGTGGCTGTTTATGATCATGGCATTAACGTCCATTACTTACATATGTAAACTAAATGTTTTCCTAACACAACCGGCCATGGTGCGATAAGTAAACTTATTCACGATAACCACTTTCGAACTTTGAGAAACTTTGTATAAATATTGAGTGAAAAACAAAGGCTTACGTCATTAATAAGGATTTTCTCGGAAATTTACGATAAAACTTTCGTTATAAAGTAACTCAAAAAAGCTAACTGTAATACGTCCTTGCGTCAATTAAGTAAAAAAAAAATGCTTATATTTTAAAATATATAACTTTAAAATTTGAGACAATTTGGTTTAGATTTCATTGAATGAGCAGCTATATCATAAGACAGTGTCCAATTTTATTAATACAAACGAAAAACTTTTTAACCCGTTTGTTAGTAAACAAACACACATTAACAAAAGTCATTAACAACAAAGGGGCGCGTCAAATTGTGAAATATGACTGGATTCTGGCGAGTATACAACAATATACGGTTGCAAAAACTCAAACTTTAGCAAATTTTATATTTCCAATCATCATTCAATGAAATCGAAACCAAGTTGTCTCAAATTTTAAATTTACATATTTTGAAATATAAGCATTGTTTTTACTTAAGGATGCATTGCATTAGCTTCTTTGAATTACATTATAACGAATGTTTTAACGTAAAATTCTGAAAATCTTTATTTTGACGTAAGCTTTTGTTTTTCGCTCAATATCTGTACAAAGTAGCTCAAAGTTATAAAACGTATGTACATAAATATGGGGAATAAATTTACTTATTACACCAAGGCCGGGTGTATTTAGTTTACATATGGGCTACTTTTAACGTTTGATCGGCGAAATTTCGTGGTGATCGGTCATCTCTGTCCGGGGACTGTAGATATATCTTAGTAAAAAAGTCTTATTATTATTATACCAATTTTGAAGCCATTTTAGGTTCTCATTATTAGTTACTATTACTTCGTGGGTCGTCATTATAAAGAAACAGATTTTAGTAAGGATGACATAATTGCTGAACATGACTATAAACCAGAGCAGGAAGAGCAATAATAAAAGCACTGAAGACAAACAAAGCATTAAAAATAATATAAGAGCTCAAGAACTAGGTAGAGGGAAAGCAAGGGGAGAAAGTATGAGGGAAAGTTAAAGTATGAGTGCAAGTATGAGTTTAAGGGACATAAGTGTCTGTCTTCAAATGGTCATTACTTCTCAACCGCTTACCCATTTGCTGAAATTTTTGGCCCTTTAGACTCACAATAAAGAATATGGTCTAAGAATATGGTACTCTATTATTATTATAGCTCGAATAAAACAAAATTTGCAAAATTTAAAAAGAAAATTTTTTTTAATTATGCATTAGTTATGGGTAAGACAACAAGTCTGTTGAGTCGTGTTAAAGTTAGTGATAGGTATGTTGGTGTTAATGTGGTTTGTGAGGAATTAGAATGTAAAGAAAAATTTTGAGAATGATGAATTACCCAAGTTGCTAGATATGGTAGACTACAAACTACATTAGATAGTGATTCTGGTTGTCATTGTATTATATATATAATTAGGAGAAAAGAAAATATAGAAAAAAAAGAACTCCCAAATTTGCCTCATGAAAGAGAAAATACATTTGCTTTTTATGAGAGACAAATAAAAGGATTGCAAGAAGAGTTAACTTTAACAGAGAAAGCCTTAGAAATCTAAAGAGAAAAGTAGAAAAATTTCATGAAATGTCTGAACAAAGATGCAAAGGAACAAAAACAAGAACTTTTGGATAGGATAAAGAGTTTGAGAAAAAAATTAAGCAGTTAGAAGAGGAAAACAAATTATATTGCTCAAATTGAAGTTAAAGAGACTAAAAAATGACCTTGATAAAAATAATTGTTCTTTCTTTAGAATGATTCTGATAGTGCTGTAATTGTTTGGTGCCATAGTGGATTTGATATAGATTAGTTTTATATTTATCTTTTTATATATAGAGGTAATCCTATATAAATCTTGTTATGGTTTATATTCATCACATTCTGGTATGATAAAGGAAACATTAAAATTAACAAGACAAAACATCAACAGTCACCCTGATCAATTTCATAATCAGCCCCTAATTTATAAAATGTTCACTTTGCCTGGTTTTGTTGCAACATGCCCCACTATAATATACTGTACGTGTATAAGCCAATATGGCTGTATTATGTATAGGAGGTGACTGTAATAGGGTAACAAGGTCCGACTTTGAGTTCGACACGATATGTAGAGGAAAAGCACAAGAAATCGTGGACAAGTGAAAGGTAACTTATTGGATTTAACTAATCATAATTGTAAGCTAATCTTTTACTCGATATTAATATACATACATTAATTACGGAATGTTTCAAGGATTGGACTGCATTTTACGGAAGAAAGAATTGCGCTCATGTGAATATGCGGGTGGGCTTGATAATTATTGACAGATTTTAAGATCGCTGATTAAGAAATCCATAAAAAACGAATATATTTTCGTGATTAATTTTTCGTAGATAAACGCGTCTCGCTTGCGTCTTGTGCTAAGAAAAAGAAAATTAAAATCAAGTAATTGGTTGCAACCTTAACGAAATAGTTTCTTGATGGATACTAATACGATTAAATCACTCTTTACAATGTATCTCGGTGGTTTTTAAATCACGGCAAGTCTTCGCGACCTTTCTCTCCTCGCATATACCCTTGCTTAGAGGACAACAATCATTTCCGAGGAAAAGGATGAAAAAAATGATATTAAAATAAGAGTATTTCCTATCAGGCGTAAACTGTTTTACATTCGTTATAACCTCCCCATCAACTTTATTTTTCCGGAGCACTTCTTCAAGGTCATCCAGAGCTTTATTTTTGTCCTGACTCATCAATAAATTTTGCAAGTCTTGTGGCTGGATCCCTTTCATGTCATAGCCACGAAAATTCACTTCTGTTGTCTCAGACCATAAATCTCTTGTTGCCGAAAAATATTGAAATGCTCTCATTAAGCTTTAGATTCCGCCTTTGATAAGTTCTTCCGTATCAAGCATCACGCACTAAACAATAAATACGTAATAATAACAAACACTTTAACCATTATATTATAGATAAAGGTCAAAAATTAAACAACCTAAAAGAGTAAGCGTAATATCAATATCCCTAAAATATTGTAAACATTCCATCAATAAAGTGCATTATTTTGTATATTTTCTATATCCCATTGATAATCATAATAATACTATAAAAAATAATAGACCCTTGTCAATAGAGAAATGACAGTATTTGTAATTGGGGAAATATCCTATAGTCGGGTTTCCTATAACGTTTACACTTTATGAATTGCACCCACCTATCCAGAATCTCATTAGTATTTACGCAATAGTATTTACGTGGACATCGTCTTATGAAGTTCCCAAAATTGTCTTTGAAACAATCGTCTTGTCCATTGCTCAAATGGGACTATTTTAATTCCTGTTAGGTAAAAATATCACGTGATAATACGTGGGCAATAAGAATCAAATATAATATAATATAATAAACGACTTTTACAGTTCTTTTTCTGACCAATTCTATTTCCTCCCCCGACCAGCATCACTGAACGCAATAGTCTTTACGATTCCACCCAGATCTTTCCTCAACGAATCAATTTCCTCCCCCAGTTCATTCAATCGATCTCCTGCTTTCAGCAGTGTTGTATTAATTTGGATAAAATTATTGGCCAATGCGGAAACTCTGGCAAGCTCTTGTGATGAGGATGCTTGACCAGTCTTTAATTTCGACAGAAAAGCAAGATCGGATGCCTCTTCTAAAAGAAAGGGAAAGAGATAATTGAGATATAAATTTTGAAAAGAAAGAGAGATAACACTATGGAATATCTGAATTACTGGTTTCAGGAGATTCATGAGTCTCTTCCGCTTCACCGTCATTTAGAATTTCAAGCACATCTACTTTATTTTCTTCATTATCAGTCGAATGATTATACGTTTGAAGAGCTTTTAGATCTGATAAAATTTCTTGAAAGGTTAAAGGAACTGGAGGAAATAATGTTGTTGATTTCTTCCTGAACATTGGCCTACGAATTAGTCTTTTGTGTGTGTGAGTGTGGGCGGTCAAACTGGTCATTAATTTACGTCATTATCAGAAGTGTAACACGGAAAATCGAAAACTACACAAAAATTGCGCATTTTCTATCTTGTTCTCTTCATTTCTCAAAATGTCACGAAGCATTAGTGAAGAATGCAACAACTTGAAAAAAGAATATGACGCTTGCTTTAATAAGTGGTACTCTGAGAAGTTTTTAAAGGGAGATTGCAACCCCGAATGTGATGAGATATTTGCGGCTTACAGAGAATGTGTCCTGGTACGTTCGTTCCCTTATATGAAAGACATTACACGTACGGGCTAAAACATACCAACTTTCATGACCTATTAGAGCGCAGTCAAGTCAAAACAGATAGATAAGCTTCTGGCTGATGCACGGAAAGAAGATCCTTTCGCGAAAGTTGCAAGTTCTGATGAGAAAAAGTGACAATGTAAAAAATCCATTAGTGTATCTGATTACGTTTTCTCTTTCATGTCCCTTTGTTTAATAATAAATTTAATACTTTTCGCTGTGTACAAGGTTAAACTCGGTTGATCCGAAGGCGCTTGTGCAGAACTTTTCCCTCTGGGTTCAGACTAACTGATAAGAAGCTTGTTATTGCAGATTGGTCCTTAGAGTCGGTGATTGATTTTATTCTTTTCTTACTCGTATATAGAAACTCTTGCTAATGGATGTCCATCTCTTTTTGAATTAGCAGACCTTAATTTGTCAATTGATACCACAGTATCCGCAGCCGCTATTTTATGCTCTTGTGAATTTTTACCACGTACTAAAGTGATTATTTCCTTGTCTGTCCTGATCGTTTCGGCTAACAAATACATCCATACGTTCAATCAAATGTTGAACGGTATGTTTGTCATTATTGTCATCATCAGATGGTATATCGAGAAAGTTGCCCATACTATTGGAACTTTGAATAAGGCTTGCCTTTGACCAATATGAAGCGATTATATAGGTTTAACAAGATGTCATGCTTCCGCTGTGAGGCGGATCGAGTACTTTATAGTCGTCATGTGCGTCTCACGCAAAGAGTTGGCGGTACTTTGACTAACACTAAGGGTAACGATAATGAAAACTGCTAAGAATGGAATCGTATATTTGCGTTTAGGGGGTAGTTTCGCTGAACGCTTTGGACATTTTTGGTGCCAGTTGTAGAAAATTCTAAATAGAATGTATGTAGACAAAGCATTTGTTTACTAATCATTATTGGATAAGCAGAACGTAGATTGACAATTATATAGAGCAGCAGCATAAGAGAAGAGGCTCTATGATCCAAATATTCAGGGTCGGAAACTTGCTTAAAACCTGAATACACGACGGTAACTCCTTGTCAGCGTTAGCTGATATTTTTCATTGATCAGCTATTGTCTTTAACAATTTTGGCGTTGCTTCATCCCAAGGACCGTGTATTTCACTATAATGCGAAAGAAAATTTGTTAATCGATCCCGCCTCTACGGACGCCCCCTGTAAACCAGACTTTGCCCTCACTTACTTTTTGTACTTTTGTACCCAAATTAGCCAGAACGGACACACGAACGTTATGAACGCAATGCCCGAGATGTATAGTATTACCATTGTCTTTGATATACTCAAAAAGAGAGCAGTTGCGACCATGAACAAGATACACGTGAGTATGACATTAAAATTTGCTGACAGCGTCTAAAGGCGGTACCGCAGAAAATATTTAGTCGGCCGTCTTATGCTCAACTTTTCTTCGCCTGCCCGCACTTACCCTCGTGTATCTTCTAAATATCGGAAACAAAGCAAACCACTCTACTGCAAATGACATCAATCCAAACACGTGTAAATTAGAAGGAAGTCTAGATGCCAAAAGCACAGAGGCAAATATTGCCGCATTAACAGAGACCGATCCAGGAAATCTAATAAAGCCCCAAAGTATATTAATGGCTTGATAGACGAGCTTTTGCAAGGCTGCTTTTCCTTCCATCAATTACCTGATATTTGTTCGATTTCCCGAACCATAGTCATGAAAAAGCATATTCGTGAGAAACAGTATCACAGTCAGTGCCCATATAGTATCACTGCTTGTATCCTTTGTGAGTGTCTTTAATATTGGTGATAATCCGAGAAGCGTTGCAAAAAAGAGTACTGCTCCTTTTGCGGTCTTTTTTTCTACAGGAAAGCAAACAACACGCCAGTTATTGTTAATTAAAAAGTGGGAAAACCAAACACAACGTATTCTCCCTGTTATATTACTAACGTTTATATTCGTAGGATGGATCTGTCTTTCGTATACTCAAAGCCCAGATTATGTATCCAATGGCGGTAAGAATGGTTCCAGTAGCAATGAGCTTTTCGGCCGAGAGCATGTCGAAATACAAGTATATGAAGACTGCCACAAAGATTATTATACTGCTTATGTGCTGCGAAATTACGCCCGATTCCATTACCACTTCCCAATAATCATACGCTCTGACATTCACTAAAAAATTTAAAACGCTTCAACAGACTTTTTCTCACTCGTTTTTTTTTTTCTGTTATCGTTAATTTTATAATATCTCACCGTTCTTCCGCAACTCGTGGAGAAAAGTACTGTCTACATAATCATCAGGATAATCTTGTTTCACCCATAAAAGCTTCTTCCATGGAGGAGGCTTCTCTGTTGATGATTGAGATGAATCCTATTTTTGAAAACATGAATATCGCAATTGAACAAGATTTGTATCGCCAACTTGTAGTAATATTCGAGTCAAGCTAATATGCTTACCCAATCTTTTTTAGTATCTAAATCTCTATAATCAACGCGATGACAACTCTGGTTAAAAACAAATCACTTGTTTGCATTCATCTATGACTAGCATTCAGCAAAGGCACTCTTCTAAAAAGAACGTGTGGTTCCAAACTACCTATTAAACCCTCGAACATCACTGTCTATCGTTTGCATTTATGTCTGATAGGACGGGAAAAAAGCAGTTTAGGGTTTACATTCTTGAATAATTTATAGCTTTTTGTGCCACTTTCGTCAAATACTCACTTGATGCTTTTGGATAACGACAATGAAATTTTCCAAATTTTCATTTTCACCAAATTACTTAAATTGCACTAAGTACGAATCATATAAATTTACTTCATATGACATCCATTCACCACTGTAATGGATCTTTCGCGGAAACTTTGTTAGGAGATTTTCCCTAATTAATTTAATATTAATTCAATTTCCGACAGACTGTATGGAAACCCTTGTGGTATGTTTACCAAGAATGTTCTTTTCTTTTTCCATCAAAGTCCATAGCGTTAACATATTTTCCGTCATTTCTTTCCGCTAGAATATAAAGGATTGTTCATAGCTTTGTCGTCGGCGTTAACAAGAGACTGGCCAAAGAAAGTCTCGAAAAAACCAAAATGAGAGGGAGCCGGCGATTTTCTCAAGCGAATGAAGAAATCAGAACGGTATTGATAACCGGTGCAAATGGGTTTATTGCTAGTCACATTATCGAACAACTTCTTACAACAACCAACTACAACGTTCGCGCATCGGTACGCAACATTCAAGACACATCCAAAGTTGCACACTTGGTTACTTTTCCCAACGCTCAACGCCGACTCCGATTATTTGAAGCAGACATTTTAGACGAAGGTGCATTCGACAATGCTATGAAAGACGTCCAAGTCGTTTTTCACGTAGCCGCTCCGTATTTCCTGACGGTTGATAACCCGTATCGAGAACTCATCGAGCCGTCAGAGACGGGCACGTTTAATGTGTTGACATCAGCGATAAAGAGTGGACGTGTGCATACCGTGGTGCTGACGTCGTCGATGCGTGCCATTGCCGACAGACCTCGCGAGAAAGAGTATACCGAAGACGATTGGAACAATGAAAGCAATTTGAAAAGAAATCCTTACTTTTATTCAAAAGTAAAGGCAGAGAGATCTGCTTGGGATTTCTATGAGAGGTCAATCAGACTTATGGGTGTTGCTCCGTTTAGACTCGTAACAATTAACCCTGCCATGGTTATTGTGAGTACCACGTGTATATATGTGGGCCTTTGAATGCCATGTTTATTACTCGATGCATTGATGAATTTCATATTCGTATGCCTGCACATTATCAGGGTCCTTCTCATACCAAGAAAATGAATCAAAGCGCAAGGGTATTATTTGACATAATTAAAGGAGAAATCCCGGTACAAGTCAATTTAAGTTTTTGGCTTGTCGATGTGAGAGATGGTAAATTAACACTTTTTCTCAAGCTCGAATTGAAACTCGTTATCAATTATTTTTTGCTTTTTCTCGTCTTTTTGATTTTTATGCCGCCCTCCCCTCTTTCTTTTGGTAGTTGCAAAGGCTCACATTCTAGCAGCGCAGAACCCCTACGCATCTGGTCGTTATATCTGTGCTTCCAAAACTCTCAGTATGGTCGAAATCATCAGTTTACTTAAACAACGATTTCCCGATTACAAGTATCCCTGGTCATTGACTATTCCAAATGTCGCTGCTAAAATAGTCTCTAGCATGCGTAACCCGGCTGGCTATGTTTCGTATGTAAAGACCAACGTTGGGAAAGGAGCGTATAAATTCAACAATAATAAAATTCGAAATGAACTTGGACTCGAGTTTCGAGCAGTAGAAGAGTCGTTATGGGACCAGGCAGCCGATTTTATTAGATGGGGACATATGCCTGACAAGCTTTCTAATGATTGGGCATATAGGGTGCCGGCCGCTATTAAGGACGCTGATGTTGCTAGAGCATATGGATGGGGATTTAATAATTTTGTGGATGACGATTCTGACAAAGACATTGGATAGGGATTGGAAGACGGTATAAGATATTCTAACCTAAGAAAAAGTAACATGGTTTTACATAATCCTTATTTTATCATATAGATAACTACCGTAATGTGCTAATGTAATTGTGATGTACGGTTTATTAAATGCAAAAATTAAAAAATAGTTTTTTCCTTTGATTTGATTAGATGATGAAAGTAAATAACGCTGATTGATTTGATGCAATACTCGAGAAATGATGTATTGCAAGAAGCAGTATGGATCAAGAAAACTGATTATTAGTGTAATTAGGAATCAATTTTGGTAGAAACTCGTTCTTCCTCTACTGAAGGTGTAAAACGATCCAATAATTCTATCAATACTTCACTGGACATGGGATATACTGCAGGGTTGTTCTTAAACGCCTTGTACGTTGATGTCCTTATCACTTGCTGCCAATGTTCAATGGCATATTTCATAACCTCTTCCTTCAAGTCTGGCCATTTCCAAGAAAAGTTGAAGAGAATTTCAGTCGCATTGTTGGGAGAAATCTCTTGCAAAATCTTGGCTTTTGCTCGTTGACGTAGATCTGCTATTAGATATTTATCAGCTATGTCGAAAAGCTCCATGCAGGTTTGATGCGAATCTTTACGCTTCGAAAAAGTCACTTGATCTTTGGATAGGAAGAAAATTTTTAGAGAAAAAAATATATATTAATATTATCAATTCTACGCTAAATCGGTCCCTCTATAGCTAGTCGTTTCAAACTCGCGATACTAGAACTCTGGCTCACCTGTGTAGAGAAATCTCAACATCTCCAGAAACGTAAGATGATGATAATCTGGTATATCAATCTCAAACTGATACCCAGCCGTCTTTCCATTTGTTGCAACCACGTCATTCATAGATACTGCCGTCTTACTTTCCAAACTTCTATCGCTGTGATCTCTCGACGATCTCGTCGGATATCTTCTAATGCTCTTTCGTCTGTTCTCTGACCATTCACCCCCAAAGAACTTTTGAAAATATTCTGATCGTTTTGAGAGAATAACCGAATCAGCGTATATCACATGGTCGTTAATATTGAACTGAACGTCCGCACATTCCGGGACGTTGAGTTTATCTAACCAGGCCTCGGTGAGATCTTTTGGAAAGGTTTTTGAAGGAAGGGTGGAATCCTGCGGAAGTGAAGATACTTCCCCTGATGTAAATTCGACTCCAAAAGTTACTTCTTCATGCGATGGAAGATCTGAAGAGTTGCAAAAATCCTTCCAGCCTGAACAAGGAACAAAAAAGCGTATTTAATTGATGGGAGACGCAACAAACAAAGGTAAGGGATGGGGATGTGAGGATAAGCGAATGGAGGTCAAACGCGTGTTCAGCCAATCGGGCGCCGTAGTGAATGGGAAAGAAACTGATAAGTATTTGGGGCCAAAGGGAAACGGGTAGTAATAAAGATTAGTCAACGTTTTTTGTATTCGCACCATATCCTCTTCGCGTAGCCGTGAATCCGTTCAGTTCGGCCTCGCCATAGTCGATACGTTTGAGTGTTCTTGGGTCCTTTACGAATATTATAGCCGAGAGCGTCCCACGCTTTGTCCATACTCCTGACTCGTGTTCTTCTTCAGGATTGGGTATTGCTCTCAGACCTAATGAACAATATTTGGGATGATCATGTGCAGACTGGATGTAATGGAACCGTTAGGATGCGATGAGGGCAAACGAGAAGGGAAGGGAGAGTTCCGATCAAAGATTTGAGAAGGTAACTAATTACCCTGTTAAAGACTAACTGCCAATACATATCGCTCGAGGTTGCAAACGGCGGGCTGTAAATATCGCCCTGGAGTTTTGAAATGTTGTATAAAGTGAACTCGAATAGACATTTGCTTTTATGTGACATGAATATAGCACGCTCGATAGAAAGAATGTGAAACTATAAACGGACAGTGGTAAATATATACACGTGCACATCTCTGTCCATTATGCATCTCTTCTGGAAAACTATTCCCCATAATTTTTCCTTTTCCAGAAACGAGGAGAATCACATACACATTTAATTATGGTCAAGAGTCCAAGACATTTTTCTAGCGAGGAAATCGATAAGCCAATTAGTTGGCCCGAGATTGTTTTTCATGCATGTCATATCGGAATAAATGTAAATGGCTATTCTCAGAGTTACACCGTAAAGAATTCCATAACCGTGGGGAGAGCATAACATCAACATGTCACGCCTAACGCTAACGGCACCTAAATTCTCGACCCTGTTGTCGATAAAGGCTATACGCGTTGATTGCAAACTGTAAATGAAAATCATCACAATTAGTAAAATCAATAGAGAATGTCTTGGCCATTTCTTTCTGATCAGCATGGCATGGGTGGTGGTAGTAATGCATCATATTTAGCAGTTTATATTTAGTAGCTCAATGTGTTATTGTTTTCAAACCTGTAACAACACTGCGACAAGCGCTTTTACAACCGATTGAGTAATTCGTCTTGAAATGTTATCATTTAATTCAATTTTGTAAGAAATGTTTTTTTTGAATCACATACGCGTTATTTTCGTAACGTCAATGCCAAGAAATTTTATATAATTTTCCCTGAATTGCAAAATAAAAGCAATTACGTATGTGAAATGGAGTTACCAAAGTCGGTTTTATTGAAATTTATTTGTTTGTTATCAACTTGGTTATTATTGCAAGCGCTGTTTTCTGATATCTTATATACATAGTGAAACTCTAACAAATTTTCACTTGCACAAAGATGGCTTATAAAAAAGTACTGTATTTGGCCCAAATCAGGTTGCTCTTAAACAAAATAATTTTGAATTAATAAAAATATATATGATGCTATATTAATATTACGTTGAACAAAAAGTAGGCATTATAAAATTGTCTGTTTATTTGTGAAGTTTTTTAAACTATAACGAAGCTCGTTATATCAGAATCGTCGATCTCAATCTACCATCAATAAAGACATCTCGTCTTGTTATATCGTGCGTCTTTTATAACGCGCTTGCTCTTTATCAACTAAGATCGAAAATGCTGAAATCATTAAAGATAAAACAACGTCTTGTCAAAAAAAAAACACTTACAATTGCTTAAAAAAGAGACCGCATCAGAAAAATAATAACACGCGTTTGAAAATATTAAAATAACAAACGAGTGTGACCTTAGAAATCTATTGTTGTTAAAATTTGAAAGCAATAAATTATCATGATAAAAACAATATTGACCTTCGATGGGTGACGACTAAATCGACTCTACCAACACCGTCGCTCTGGCTAATAATAGTCAACGAATGCTCAATCATCAATATATCTTATTCGCCACAGCCGGAAAAAATCTCATCTCGACGGCTTCGGGTAGCGAAGAATGTTTCACGGTAATTTAGAGATAATATGTAACAGAAACCATAAAGTGCTTTTATATGTATTCGATTTGCTATAGACGGAGGAAATGCCATCTCGAACGGCCTCGTCACAAAGCATCGTTTCGCCGTTCAGCCACTGCTGTCGTATTCTTCTTCCGCTTCTACTCCCTGTGCTTGTATTTGAGCAGATTTGCGTGATAACGATAGTTAATGTTGGGAGTTTTCTGTTTGAGTGATTCGTTAGTGTCGTATGCGCAAATGGCGTTGTATTTGTGTTTCGGATGAGGAGTATCGATATACATGATATCGTGACTGTCATGATTGTTTCCGTAAATGAGAACAATAGTATCAATGCGTCCCGGAGTACCTGCGTATCGCGATGTATCGACCAGTGAGGTAATTTACTACGATAACCCACACACGTATCTGATGATCTCGATAGACATCAGCATAATAGTACTGTTTTAATAGAATTGGGGTTTGAATACGTCTCTCTTACTTGAATAGTATGACCATTATTCGTACAATAGATTATTTCAATCGCAACATTTTTCTTGCTTAGTTTATACTTGGATAATAAAATGCAAGTATGCCTGTGCTTTTTATAATAAAACGAGTTTGATGCAAAACGATCATTGCAATCTCGCGATATATATAATCAAGTCAATTTTCTCCCATCTGAACCACTATTTTCAATGAATTCACGTTGCCCCCGATGCTTCTACACTCTCATCACAGATTCCCCTAGTGCATATTAAAGTTGGCACGACAAAGTAAATATGATGTTTTTCTCACAGAAGAGCTCGACCTGTTACGTCGTGTAAAAGTACCGCTGTTTAATAGCCCTCATACACCAATTATATACTCTACGCCATGGTAACCACATGCACTTGCAGTTACGTTTTAGTTATTCAGGACCACCATACGATAAAATTTTCATATTGTAAACCATGCCGATTTAGCTTTTACTGATGTTACTTGGGAATAGCTTGATGAACATGCTTGTTTGTTGTACGATAAACGTTACAAAATAAATGTTCACGTATTGGAGAAAGTATTATATATAACACAAGAATTCTATTAAAAAAAAATATGAAAAAGAAAAGAATTCGAAATGTCCGTAGATGAAATATGACATTGAAACTAGATACAACAAAAAAGAAAGGGAAAAAAAAAGAGAAAGAAAAAGAAAAAAACTGATATCAGAAACAAGAGTGGGGAGAGTCAGAAATTGAATGCAAGTCTATTAAATTGGGTTATGAAGAAGACTAATATAAACAAATGGAAATTATATAAAAGAAAACCGGATGAAAAAGCCTTATGATATTGCATAAGTGCAACCGACTAGCATGTTGTGAGAATATTCTACACTTCATATTGAATCTTACTAATATAGAAAAGCTTAAAAGAGATGACCGAAAAAGCTTGTAGCCGGAAAGAAGAAAGGATGACAAATTATACAATACAAATATGGGCAAATAAATACTCGATAATGATAGGTCATCTCTGTTTTTTGATATTATCTGCAAAATTTTTTTTTGTTCGTATGAAAAATATAAAGACAATCTACAAAATAACCCTTCATTACATTACCGCCATCCATTACTGCTTCCCAAAAAAAAAATAATACCCATGTAAAAGAAGACCACAACACCCCTAACACGCTCAGCGTGATAATTTTGCTATGGCAAACACACCCACTATCGTCATAGCCAGAGCCGTAATCGCACCAGGCAATAACAAATCTTTTGGTATAGAAAACCCATTGTCAATATCTTTGTCCTTGTTTTTTCTTTTGCTTCCACTCTTCTTTCTCTTGGAACTCTCGTGCTCTTCTTCAGTATCGTCATCATCGTTCTTCTCCACCACTAACAGAACGACCTTGCTGACTCCCTGTCTCTGTGCGCATCTCACTGCATCTATCACATCTTCGTCTGTGGACATTAACACAGGGTCGTTATCATCGTCCAAGTATGATAGTGTGAATGTTTTAATCGTTTTTGGAAGTTTTGACGCAACAACTTGTCTCACAAGAACTAGACTGGTATAGTCGGCCGTTACTCGATGTGTCTTTCCGCTTGGTGATTTGAATTTGAATGTATAGGTGTTTTCGTCGAGTCCACGTGGGAAAGATGCATTCGAGCCATCGTCGATAACAGAGCCGTAATCGTATGGGCTCGAGTCGCCGTCAACAGGTGACATTCGGCCGCCGCGGCGCATTCGAGAAGGTGGAGAAGGCGGAGGAATATTTGAAGCTGATTGGGAAGGAGTTATGGATTCGGAAATGACGGATTCGTTGTCGTCGTTGCCCATCGAGTTCCAAAATCGACTCCACATTGGGCCGCCTGGTTCACCGGGTGTTGTTGCAGCATCTTGATCGTTTTCCATCGAGTATATCTTTAAGTGTGGGAGAGATTTGTATTGTAAGTATTGGCATAAAGGAAAAAGAATATGTGGTTCCCTTGACGAAAAAAAAATTTTCTTGTCATTATTACCTGTTCTGTAATTGCATACGTAAGTTTGAGCACGTCAACCATTCCCCTAATAATTTCCCCATCAACCACCGGCAAGTTCAAATAGTGTCCGTCGTACATTTTTCTCAATGCATCCAAAATACTCGTGTTCGATGGAGCAGTGTGGGGATTGGGAGTCATGACTCTTGCCACCGGCGTTGAACCTGGTTCTAATCCTACAGAGATCACCCGGTTCACAATATCTTTACTGGTAAAAATACCCGCCAATTCATCCCTCTCCATTACCAACACTGCTGTCGTCCTATGTTCTCTCATTAGTCGAGCACAGGAAGTGACCGACGTACGAGTGTTGACTTCGACTGGCGGAGTACCATCCAGAACAGAAGCGAGATCGGGACAAGACATTTTCTCTCGGAGAATGTCGAGATATTGTGATAGTTGTCGTGGTTGACTAGACCATTCTTTTTCAACACCTTCGAGAGCGTCGTACAGTTTTTTGGATGACGAAAAGGCACGATCCATTCTTTGCAAAGCTTCATAAAGACATTTCGTAATGTCTAACAAGCCCACTACGTCACCAACTTCACTACATATGGGCTAATGAATGGGATAGCAGAAAGTGAGGGGGTTGGAGGGAAAAGAGAGAGTTGGGGATAATGGTTGATGATATCAAATTAGTATTCTAGACAATCCATAGATTTGATAGCGTTATAGGGATTTTCGACCGCCAAATGACGTAATCTGATGGGAGATCTAATGCCGAAAACCCCCCATCAAAAAACAATACGTAAATTTCAGAAACTGCGTTTTGCTTACCAAATGCCTGAACCCTCTAGTAACCATTGTATCAAGGGCAAGTGCAGCCGAAGTATCCTTCATCACGCATTTCGGATCCCGAGTCATGATGTCTCTAACAGTTGTCGTTTTTGCATCAAGACCTTCTCCGACGACTCTGCATGCCAGATCCTTGGCCGTAAATATACCGGATAAACCGTCTTCGTGATCAATAACCAGAACGCAGTCTGCACGCTTTGCAGACATTAGTTGTGCGGCCTCGACAACGAGGGCCGATTCACGCACTGTAAGGGCTTGAGTGGGTTTGAGAGAGGCTACAGTTCCATCGGATTTTTTAGATTTCTTGCGAGTGCTGTGACTACGCTTCTTTCTTGGCTTTTCGGGATCGCTGTTTTTGCGTTGAGTCTAGATTAGGACAAGTTATGGGGGTTGGGATACAGAGTGAGAGGGAGAGAGATTAATGGTGGCTTTGGTTCGAATTGTCCAGTTTATGATCCAAATGCTGCTATTAAAGCTACTATTATTGGTATAGTGATGTCGTGTTATTATGTTAGAGAACACTTACGCTTGCACCTTCAGCCGAATTATCTCTGCTCATAGCTGGTGGGGATTGGGTAGTCTTTCGGCTAGGTTTCTTTGATCGCATTATTTTTTTTTCTCCTTCAATTATACAACCGAAACGAGATATATATATATAATTAATTTTATGAGTCACTCATTAGTAATACATACAAAAGACACATTCTTGATATTGTATTCGGTTTGGCTGTAACACTGACCCGATTATTTCCTAGAGATCCCACTGTAATTCCGATAAAGGATTCCAATTGAGGTAGGTATATAAATTATAGTTGTAATAAAATGGTTGTTCAATCACAGATATGCATGTAATAAGTACAACTCATCTGTAGAGGAAAAAAAAAAAAAGAAGCATTATCAGATGCAAGTGCGCCGCAGGAGGGAATTGTTCTGATTATTATCATCTCATTATTATCTTTTCTTATTCTTTTTTTTTTCCTTACATTCCGTAAGAAGATGGTTATGACACCAATCGTAACATTTGTGATAAATACTATCAAGTTTGGAAGATTAAGATAGATAGATCACCGTGGTTAAATTTGGGAATATCTCGATCAATTTATTACGTCACTTATTACCTATAGGATAACGCCCTAACCCTAACCCTTCTTTGATGGAATTCTGTGTATCCGGTTTAATCTACCCGGCTTTTCGGAAGTTACGGGAAGGTATTAACTCTTGTTATCACTATGACTAATTATTATTACTATTAGCCATCACAGTTGAGTGTCAACATGACGTAAGCCTGAAAGCTTTTCGCACCTGCTCGGCTTTGCAGGCTTGTTTTTTTGTTTCTTGGGATCCGGTCAAGATTGAAGGCTTAAATTCATCCCCATTCATCATTAGTCTGCACGGTCTATCTTTCTGCCAATTGGATGCACATGTGGTGTCGCAGATAACTAACGCTAATTGTATACCAGTACATAGAATGGGGACCAATGAATTTGTGGCACCGCCACATCAGTAAACTTAATTTATATACTAATTACAAATATTTATCTGATCTTTGTGCGTGTAAAATTGTCTCACATCAATCTTTTCCCTATTTTCACAAGCAATCAAACAACTGAAACATGCCAAAAAATCCAGTAATGGTGGGAATCCAAATTAGATCAAATCGCTATTCAGAGAAGAATATACGCAATCGAAAAGCTTGGTTTTTTTTTCCTACGAGAAATTGTTCGTGTAATACAAAACATGCGGCCACACTACGCATCACATCGGTGATACCAGATGATCATGCCGCATTGCATCATAATTCTTTTTTTTTTTTTACAAAGAAAAGCGTTATTGTCTGTCGCAGATGTAAAACTTTTGGATTGGGTTTGACACAAGGAAATACGTCTCTATTAATATTGTAAACAAATAAACAGTTCTCATTTCTATTTACTCGAATAACATCAAACAGAGAAAGGCTAGCTCACGTCATCGAAATTTGCTAAAACGTGCGAATATTACGCGAAGGGGGATTATCATCAGAAAACGCCCACGAGTCGCAAACACGCCCCTACTTTGATATTGTGACGGATATAGAATTATACAGACGCTTCGACATCAGACAATCGAAATCAAGATTTCATGCATCAAGAATGTGATGTGCATGAGAAATAATGACTTAACCAGAAGGTACGCACATTAATCAAATAGAATGGATGTTAAATTATGGTATAGCGTTCACGCGACCTTAACCAGGATTCGTCCACTCTGCTTGTTGTTATGCATGGTCTCCATTTTGAGGTGACAATCTTCATTCATATAATTTTAATTACGTCATGAATTGTAACGTATGTTTATTGGGTCCTTTGCGCACGGGTCACTATTACTACCTGCAAATTGTCAAAATGAATGCAGATAATTCGGGGTTTGTCAGTGCCAGACGACAAATCGGTACAATTATTTATTTCCGAGGACAGAACATGATCAAGGCACACGTAGTACCAATTTTACTTTAAGTATTCGATGAAATCTTGATATGTAGATTTTCAATGATGGTACGCTTGTAGATGAACGGCGCAATAGTTATTGTCGGATCGTAATGATAAATCTTATCCATGGGGACGAAGCATACAAACCGCCAGTATCTTTCACGTTTCAGGATTCCATTAATAGCATAGTGACGGCTTATAGCTAGAAGGAATAGGGAAACGATGGACTCTTTTATTTTATTTTTCCAATCATCAGTGTTCCAGCCGTCAATGTCTTGAATAAGTGGGGATAGAAATCTCAACAATATACGTACAATGTACTATTAACACAGTCGAAATTTGCCTGATTACAAACTACCTTAAAATAGACGCACACTTGTCTAATTACGTAATCGTCGATATTTGTGTATGTTACCATTCTTGTAGCAATGCAGTATCAAACTATTTCTGCCACTTCACTTCTACCGCGTTATTTTAAAACCGGTGACTGAATGACTTTAATTATAATCGGACAAACGCTTTCTCATCAGTTATATTAAACTGCGCTGTTTATAATATAATAACGATGATGATGAGTTCTAATATTTTATTAGCTATACTTATACTAGCCACGGTCTTTGGAATAATTGTCTCCGACTATACCCACATATCGATAGCAGAAATCGAAGCACGAAATGGCAGGTATTCAACAGCTAATAAATAAACAAACGAAATTAACATCTGACCATGATAAAATAATCGGAGGTATGAAGAACAGTAATAACAGTATATTCTTTCGAAGAGAAGAAATAGTTAAGTCTGTCTTGGTTAATATTAAAGGAACGAAGGGCATGTTAATCACGCAATCGACTTTCTGTAAAATCCGATGCTTTGATGATACAATGCTGCCAGCACTTTGTAACACGCACTATTAATGTGGATCTTTATATTAATCGAAGAAAAAGCAATCGTCTTTGCAAGTACTGTTTGATATAATGGACAAACACACATATTTTATATCCGTTATAATAATGTGCCTTTCAAGTTGTCAGCTAGAAAGTTATGACAAAACAAGAGGTCACATACGTAAAAGGAAAAATTTTGAATGCATTATGTTGTTGTACAATGATCTAGGGGACTTTATGCGTGTGCGTTGTTTCTTGTGCGCTCTCTCTCGTATGATAAGACTTGAAGAATACGTGAGCTCACCTACAAAATTAAATGTTTTTTTTTTGACTTTGGTTTCCAGCATGTTTTTTGTTCTTTGTTGATTGTTGACGGGAAAACCCTGTCTCAGAAAATGAAAAGATATCGAATTATTAGCTAAAACTTATAAAATAGCGAAACGATGTCACATGTTTAATTTGCCGAGTCGAAAGCAATGATTTTTCAATATATCCATTGGGACACTTTTATTAGTGTATATTTTTAAGTAAATATTCGATCGACAATTCGAATGTAAGGGCAGACACGTTTATAATAATAGCGGGGTCTGATTTGGTCATGCGTAGCCCCGTTAAACCGAAATAGATGATCCAAAGTTTTCATCATTCCCGTCAATATCAAGGTATTTCTTTTGCAGCCATTACAGCATTATAATTAATATTAGTAGTAATTGAAGTGTCATACTCAAATCGAATCTTTGAGTATCAATTTAGTCTCAGTACCAATCAATAATAATGTAATGATAAAATTCTTTAATGACTAATATCATCAATCCAAAATAACTATAACATAAACAACACTGCTTGTACAACAATACCAACAAAAATTTTCTCATCTTTCTTATTTGATGGTCAAATAAAAAATTGTTCACACATAGCACTTGTAGTAAAATTTTCCTTAATCACATTAGTGAAGCTCACACCACTAACATTTTCACATGCAAAGACAGTTAATGATATGAAAATGTAAAAAGGACTATACTAATACTAATTATTAATCATTATTATCCCAAAAATTTGGTTTACTACGGTAATATAAAAATGATGTAACATAACTCTAGCATTTAGAAATAGAAGTAAATTCAATCCAAAACTTTTACTAATTATAATACTGTTATTCCTCTATTAGCATTTGTATTGGTTGGTTGAAGCAGGTGATTGCATGCCACCATCTCATGCGTTTTTGGGACTGAGATATTTTTCTCTTTTATGCATCTCTGTTAAAATATAGAGATGTTAAAAACGAATTTGACTCCAGAGCCTTTGCCAATGCTGTTGCTCCTGTATTTCCTATTCGATTATATCTTAGGTTTAGAGATGTTAAAGAAGAATTTGATTCCAGAGACTTTGCCAATGCTGTCACTCCTGTATCTCCTATTTGATTCTTTTGAAGACTTAGAGATGTTAAAGAAGAATTTGATTCCAGAGCATTTGCCAATGCTGTTGCTCCTGTATCTCCTATTTGATTCTGGTCTAGATCTAGAGATGTTAAAGAAGAATTTGACTCCAGAGCCTTTGCCAATGCTGTTGCTCCTGTATATCCTATTCCATTACTCTGAAGATTTAGAGATGTTAAAGAAGAATTTGATTCCAGAGCATTTGCCAATGCTGTTGCTCCTGTATCTCCTATTTCATTACTCTGAAAATTTAGAGATGTCAAAGAAGAATTTGATTCCAAAGCCTTTGCCAATGCTGTTGCTCCTGTAGCTCTTATTTGATTCTGGTTTAGATTTAGAGATGTTAAAGAAGAATTTGATTCCAGAGCCTTTGCCAATGCTGTTGCTCCTGTATTTCCTACTTCATTACTCTGAAGATTTAAAGATGTTAAAAAAAAATTTAATTTCAAAGCCTTTGCCAATGCTGTTGCTCCTATATCTCCTATTTTATTTAAACATAGATTTAGAGATGTTAAAAAAGAATTTGTTTCCAAAGTCTTTGCCAATGCTGTTGCTCCTGTATCTCCTATTTCATTTGAACCTAGGTCTAGAGATGTTAATATTAAAGAAGAATTTACTTCCAGAGCCTTTGCCAATGCTGTTGCTCCTGTACCTCCTATTTTGTTAAGATGAAGATCTAGAGATGTTAATATTAAAGAAGAATTTAATTTCAAAGCCTTTGCCAATGCTGTTGCTCCTGTATTTCCTACTTCATTACGCTGAAGATTTAAAGATGTTAAAGAAGAATTTAATTCCAGAGCCTTTGCCAATGCTGTTGCTCCT